AAAAAAACTCAGACATTCTTATACACATTTCCGACACAAGCATACAGCATGAACCCTTTATATTGTCTTAGATATTAGGTAATATTTTTTGCAATTATGTACGTAGACACATTGTTTATAAGCTACACACAAATTTACTTATGGTATATCCTTGGGGAGTTTTACAGTTTTAAACATATTGTAATAATCACGGCAATTGGCAGCTAGAGCTAAAGAGCAATTGCCCAGTTGGCTATTAAAGCAGCAAAACAGAAATTCTCGTTCATCCGTTACTGAACATTTGCTTTATACGGGCCATTCTGTGGACCCCAAAACCTTTTTCCGACTACTTGTTTGGGCATGAACAACTCGTACCTTGCGTTACCTGGAGGCAGCCTATATACGGCGGTCAAAACCCGATCTGTGTAAACTGTTGGAGCATGTGGTTAACCTAAATTTTGCCTGGTAACATCCGGCTCCCTGATTCACACTTACCCCTGCCTGCATTTTTGCTTTAACGTTTTTCCTCACTTGTACTTACCTCAGTGTTTTAATATGCTTATGTTACGGATTAGCCTTCGTGACCAGGTCAGCTTACTGTATTAGAATTGTGGATTCCATAGGTTGCAGTGGGCTGAGCAGGCAAACCGACCCAAGTGTGATTAAGCTCACGGCTCCCGGCGGGGACGCGTGATTTTTTCTATGTGGAAAGTATACAGTTTGTAAACACAAATGTAACAGCAAAGTGGGCTCAAATTTGTACGAGAATTTAAAAATGCATTTCAACATGAAATTCATCATTTTTCGAGACTATACTTTAAAGGAGGTGTCACTTACTATTAAATGAATACCAGAAAGGATGTGTATATGCATATTTTCTGTAAAATATACTTGATATTATAAGTGCGCCGAAAACCAATGGGGCAGTGCATAATACGTTTGTTGTCATTTTATGCTATGGTTTTCCTGGCAGTTTTAAAAAACGTTTAGTTAAAAAAATCGTCATCCTGGTGTGACGGAAACATATTGGAATTCTGCTAGGGCATAATTTTTACTAAAAACCCACTTGAGTACTTCGCACTGCTCGAATTTGGGTTAAAATATCTTGAGATTCGTCGCTGACTGAAAGTGGGAAGTTTTAAACTGAAAACCGTGCCGGAGTACCCAGCTGGCCCCTTCACCTGACGCTCCGAGTTTTTTGCGATTAGTTGAGCTTTATTTACATCTGCTCTGGTATTCCAGCTGTCAGTCCACCTACTCGTTCGAAGCTTCAGACACGCTCGGCATTCTGTGTTGTGTCATTTTAGAATCTGTATAAAATTGTGACGTTAGTATCCTCTCGGAATTCGTTTTAGAATGTTCCTCAGAAGTCCACAGCGCAAACTCGAGAGCACAGCAACTGGAGGAAAGATTACTCGATACAATCCGT